CGCGGCGAGGGGTTAGACCACGGAGTACCCCAGCGGGGCGAGGGGCTAGGCCGCAGCGGCCCCCAGCGCGGCGAGGGGTTAGGCCACAGCGGACCCCAGCGCGGCGAGGGGTTAGGCCACCACAGACCCCAGCGCGGTGAGGGGTTAGACCGCAGCGGCCCCCAGCGCGGCGAGGGGTTAGGCCACGGAGTACCCCAGCGCGGTGACGGGTTAGACCGCAGTGGGCCCCAGCGCGGCGAGGGGTTAGGCTACAATGCACCCCAGCGCGGCGAGGGGTTAGGCCGCGGCGGCCCCCAGCGTGGCGAGCGGTCTCTGGAGGAGCGGCGAGCGGAGGAGTGGCAGCGGCCGTCCATCAGGCTGCTCCTCGAGCTCTGAGCTCGCGCCGCCAGAGAGGATACGTGGAGAGGCCGCTGGCTCACCCTGCCGCGAGCGTGCTGCTGCGCGCTCGGCCAAGGTGCTGAGACCAGTGGCACCCGCGTGCATGCCAGAGCACGCGTGTTTAAAACTCCTCCTCCTCCTCCTCCTCCTCCTCCTCCTCCTCCTCCTCCTCCTCCTCCTCCTCATCATCATCATCATCATCATCAGCATCCTCATCCTCATCCTCATCCTCATCCTCATCCTCCTCCTCCCCATCCTCCGCCGCCTCCGCCTCTCCTCGCCTCTCTCCCTCTCCCTCTTCCTTTCCCTCCCCTCTCCCTCTTTTCCTCCTCCTCCTCCTCCTCTCCTCCTCCTCCTCCTCCTCCTCCTCCTCCTCCTCCTCCTCCTCCCCCTCCTCCTCCTCCGCCCTCCTCTTCCTTCTGCTCCTCCTCCTCCTCCTCCTCCTCCTCCTCCTCCTCCTCCTCCTCCTCCTCCCTCCCCCTCCTCCTCCTCCTCCTCCTCCGCCTCCTCCTCCTCCTCCGACCGCCTTCGCGAGGAAGACAGGTACGGTGTCCAGCACCTTGGCGATCGACCTCGCGAAGTACTACGAGATGACCAGCCACGACGAGCTCAACGACCAGGCGGTCGTGACGGAGTTCCCCATGGTGCTGTTCAGGGCCCTCTGCTCGAGCTACCGCCTCCCGCGTAGGGCGATGCTGGGCAAGGGGGTCGGGCCCACAATCGAGGCCAACTGCACCACGGCAGCGGGCTGCTCGTGCGCGGCTGGGGTCGCCAAGCTGCTGACCTACACCCTCCTGCGCAGCATCGTCAGCAGGTACCCGCTGGTGCGGGCCCAGAGCCTGGTGGACGACTGTCTCCTCCAGGCAGTCGGCACGGCTCGCCCAGTGGGACGCCAGCTGCCCCAAGCTGCTCACGACCTCTTCGAGGGGCTCCACCAGAGGCGCCTCAAGATCAACTGGGGCAAGACGGGGTGGAAGGCCACAGATGCGGAGCTGGCACAGGAGTTGGACCGCCACTGGTCTGACTTTGGCCTGGCCAGAGCCCCTGGCACGAGAAGCCTTGGTGGCGACGGCAACGACGGCAGCAGGACGCGAGTGCCAGAGCAGGACAAGAGGCTCGCCCGAGCCGCGAGGGCAGCAGGCAGATTCAAGTTGCTGCAAGCCGCGGGGGCCAAGACGTGCCACATCTTCCGTGGCGCACCGTGCGCCTCGGCGTGCTTGGGCTCGGCGGTCACTGGCATCGCGGACGGCAAGCTGAAAGAGCTCAGGGCGCACGCACTCAAAGCCGAGGGCAAGCTGGCCCCCGGCACCTGCCTGGCCTTCAGGGTGCGCACCATGCCGCGGGCAGTGGTCGGGGCCCGTTCGTGGTCAATGCTGCGGAGGTGGCCAAGGCGTGGCCCATCGGAGTTCGAGACGGGCCCCTCCAGCAAGAAGTTGTCAGAGTGGTTCACGCTGATTCCGCGCAGCTGCTGGACGTCGACCAGCTGTGGAACAGGTGCACTGATCCAGGCCAGGACGCCGCGCTTAGCCTCGCCAGAGCAGGCTGCCAACTAGCTCGGCACAACCTGTTGTTCGGTCATCGCCAGCGCGAGATCGACCTCGATTTTTTTTTCGCCTGGTGCTGTCTGCCAGGCGGTCCGCGCCTCTGCCTGTGCCGCCTCTGATGTCACGGCTCTGAGAAGGCTTGGGCGTCCTTGGGTTTCGGAGCTCCGGAGGGGGGCCGTGGTTTCGGCGCTGGCTAGAACCTCAGAGCTGTGGACCAAGAGGCACGTCAACGCCTTCAGATCTGTCAACTGCGGGGCCCACTGGAGCCAGAGCAGGCTTCGCGCGAAAGGGAGAGCCACACACCCGTTTTGCGCGAAATGCGGGGCCCGTGGGACCCTCTGGCACCGTTGTTTCGATGGCCTTAGCACGGAGTTTCTCAGGAGAGAGTTTTGTCCGCTCGAGCTGCTCAAGGCGGTTCGCACTGCCCTCAGAGACGGCGAGGAGTGCGGTGAATACTTTGCCAGGGGCCTCCTGCCCTCGCCGTCGCATGTTTTTCAGGATCGAGATATCCCCGAGGAGGATCATATCCGCTTCGTGGGGCGCATGCCTGGATGGCTCTTCGAGGGAGAGGTGTTTGTGGACGGCTCGTCATTTGTTACCCAGCATGACGGCCTGCGTCGCGCGGGATGGGCTGTCATCAGCTGCAACGATGATGGCCCGTTCAGATTTGGAAAGTATAGCGCCGCCCCCTCGGCATGGTCTTTGACGCAGTCCTCTAGGGGCGCGGAAGATCATCCGCTCCACATGTCGTCGCGTTTCTCGGTCGACCTTGCCAGCGATGGGTCCCTGACAGTCTTCTCGGATTGCGCCGGGCCCATAGGCTGCGCCAGGAACGCCTCGAAAGCACCGAGCCCCATGAACCCCAACAAACATGTTTGGGAGAGCTGGTGGCTGAAGCACGGCGACAGTGCGAGCGCGAGAAAATTCAAGGCCCATTCTTCGGCATCACAAGACGCCTCTTTCTCCGATGCGCGGTGCAGGCTCGGCAACGACCTCGCGGACCGATGGGCCAGAAAGGGGGCCCTGCTCTGGAAGGCTCCCCCCCAGAAGGTCCTCTTCATGGAAGCCTGTGAAGATATTGCTGTCAAATTGGTTATATGGATAGGACATGTGCACGCGTGGCTAGGAGACCACGAGGCCTGGGACACTGAGGGTGTGGTAGGCACCTCGGATGTTGTCCTTGACCTCGAATATGACACCGGCGATCGCGATGCCGCGATCTTCGAGGAAACCCTCCGAACCCGCGAGAGGCTTGAGTGGAGGCTCGCCGCCCCTGCCCCGCCGCCGCCCGAGCCCGAGCCGATCGAGGCGGGGGTGATGCCTGGGAGGCCGTGGCTGTTTCAAGGGCATTCGGTGGTGATGTGCGACGTGGAGGGCCCCGATCACCCGTGTTTGTTTTTCTTGCAAGTCCTGCGGGGCCCCGCCGGCCCAGCGAGTGGCGCCTGGGAAGGGCATCGCGGGGGCCTGCTCGGGCCCGAGGCACCCTGGGCTTCGTACCCAGAGGTCCCGTCTCTGTCGGCACCTCCACCCCTCGGCCCTCCATCCTCCTCCGCGGCTTTCTGCAAGTCCCCGAGGACGAGGATATCGCATGGCTCCAGGGGAAGCTGGGGGGGGTTGTTGGAGGCGTTGGGCCCTCGCTGGGGCCCGATGGCGGGCCCCCATTGGGGGCCCCGTGGCCAGCCGCTCTCAGGCCCCCGCCAGCTTCCTCCAGTACGGGGTTTCGGCCCCCGTACTGGACCTGGGGCGAGCTTCTCGCCTACATGGGTTTGCCTCGCCCGACTCGGCGGTAGAATGGGCGCAGGAGTGCAGGCGAGCTGAACGCGAGGCCGAGGCCACAGAGGCCTGGCCATTCGATCGCCACTCGCCCCGCTCCAGCCGCTGAGGCGGCAGGCGGACTTCGTCCGCCCTACCCCACACCACACCACACCTCTTCCTCCTCTTCCTCCTCCTCCTCCTCCTCCTCCTCCTCGTCCTCCTCCTCCTCCTCCTCCTCCTTCTCCTCCTCCTCCTCCTCCTCCTCCTCCTCCTCCTCCTCCTCCTCCTCCTCCTCCTCCTCCTCCTCCTCCGCTCCTCTGCCGTGGCTCGCCCTAAACGGCGGCGTTTCGTTCCCTTTCTGTTTTTGTCGGTATCGTTCGGGCGCGTGCATGCTTCCTTCGGCGAGGACCATCGAGGAGCATCCTTTCATCATTTGGCGAAAAAAACATGCACGAAACCGAAAAGAACACAGGGAATGGACGTCCGAGCGATGGCCAGTTTTCGCGTTCCCTCGTCGTGTCGTCAATCCGCCCCTGCTGCAGAAGGAAGTCGAGGCGCAAGCGGCCCACGAGGGCGCCAAAGCCCCGGTCAGGTCGACCCCTGCTCTCTGCCCCGCTGTTTTGGCTCGTTCCGCCTTTTGGGGCAGGGGCGCGTCGTTCAGTGACCACTTTGGGCCCACGAGGGGCTCTGGTCTTCAGGACGCTCCCCGGGCCCAGGCCGGGGAACCCAATCGCGGCCGAGGCTCGCCGTGGCCAGGAGAGCCCTTTCGATCCGCGTCCGGCGTTCCTCATGGCAGCGCGTCGACTGCAGGGGCGCGTTCCTTACTCGAGCCTTGATCCAGGAATTGCGGCGGAGGACCGAGGCATAAGATCGAGGCATAAGATCGAGGTCGGTTCGGGGGGGGGGGGGGGGCTTCAGTCGGACCGAGGCGTAAGATCGAGGTCGGTTCGGGGAGGCTGGCCTACTGTTCTTCGTGTCTGTTGGATGCTGGATTGCATCCTGGGAGGGTACGGTAGGTTCATGCGGCGATGGCACGCCGGCGGCACTGGCGAAGGCGTTCAAGATTGAATTCTGCGACGTTGAAGCATCGATGGACACGGTGACGCCATTGGACTCGACGGAATTCAACGTTGAACGATCGGGGCCGCGATCGATTCAACGTTGAACGATCGACGCGGTGTCAAAAACCTTCACGCGTGCCGACGCCGCGCGAACCGACCGTACCCTTGGGTGTTCTGTTTGTTTTGGCCGGCGGAGGGCCTCATGTTTTCGACGGATGTTCTTCTGGCCCAGCTACGACTCTGTTTTCGAGCTTCGGGGGCCCTCGCCAGAGCCCAGGGCCGTCAGGAAAAAGCAGCTCGGAGCGAGAGGCCGGCCCCAGGAGAGGGGTCTGGGCCGCCTCGTGTGTCGAGGTGGGAGCGTGAATTACCTCCCCCGCTTTTGCTTCCAGGCAAAACCAAGCCATACCACGCGCCTCCTCGTCAAGCGTCCTGACCAGTACAGGCCGCAATTTGGCATTGTTTGGTATCTCTTGGAAGCGAGGGTGGTCAAAAGCGAGGGAGGTTTGTTTTCCCCCTAGGGAAGGCACGAGGTCGGAATCTGCAGAGAGCAGCAAGACACCTTCACGAGAAGCGGAAAGAACCGGACGGGGTCGGGACGCGGACAGGTCCGTTCCAGGGCGTTGCGGAACGCTCCGAGAAGGCCGGCGCCCCAGACATCTCCCGGAGCCGCCGGCTCTCAGAGATTATATCCTCACCCGAGTCAATCATCGTCCAGGTTCCGTCTTGAAAAAACAAGCAGCATGATCATATGTTCTCGGAGCTACGCGCGAACCGTCGAGAGTTTACGTTTGTGCCCGTGTTTCTTTCCTTCCAGCACAGGCCGTCTTCTAAACACACCCGAGAAAGAATTCGAGCACGGCAGGGTTGTCACTAGGCGCCCAGGGCCGTTTCGTAAACCGCCCCTGACTCTGGGAAGCCGTGGGCGGGGCACGTGTCCACATCCGCGATTTTGCAGTCTGGGCGCCCCTGGCCACGTGAGCACGGAATGTTTTTCTGTTCCCGGATGCCCCCTCGCAGGGCATAGCCATGCGGCCTTTTTGTTCCTCCTCCTCCTCCTCCTCCTCCTCCTCCTCCTCCTCCCCCTCCTCATCTGCGCATCTACGGGAGAGCGTCCCGGAGTACCGGCCGCGAGGGTGTGGATGCGGATGTGTGTTGTTGCGCGCGAGGAAGGATGGGGGGGAATGTAAAGGAACAGTGGAAGCGGGAGCGAGGGAAGGAGCAGAAGCGGAAAGGAGCAGGAGCGGGAGGAGGAGGAGGAGGAGGAGGAGGAGCAGCGTGGTGGAGGAGAGGAGCAGAAACAGGGAGAGAAGGAGCAGGTGTTGGGGAAGGGGAGGAGGAGGAGGAGGAGGAGGAGGAGGAGGAGGAGGAGACTGGGAGGGGGAGGCCAGGGGACGCGTCTGAATTTTGATGGGCCCCGCTTCAGCTCTCTCAAGGCCCTTCAGGGAGCCTTTCGGATCCCTGATGGGGGTATCGTGAAGGCCAGCGACCAATCGAGGGTGCGCCGTCAAATGACGCCGCCCCTCGAGAGCCTCTTGGGGCCCTCTTGAGACGATCTTGGGGTGCTCTCGAGAGGCTCTGGGCCCTCTTGGGCCCCGCTGGGCCCCTCTTGGCGCCATCGGGCAATTCTGGTGTCGACTTGGAGTCTCGGAGGCCCACCGGAGGCCGAAAGGGCGAGAAGCCGGAAACAAGCTCACATGCCAGTCGAGGTGCTGGAACATGTGGGAAATGATCCCAGCACCTCTCGGACGGGGCCAGGACGAGGATAGATCCGTTTCAGAGCGTTCTGGGACTCTTTCAGAGCGTTCGGGAACGCTCCGAGAAGGCCGCAGCGCCCAAGACATCCTTCAGAAGTGCCAGGTCTCAGAGATGCTCGATTCGTCCTCCCCCGATCTCGTCATCGTCCTGGCGTCGTCTTGATCTCCCTCCTCCTCCGCCTCCTCCGCCTCCTCCTCCTCCTCCTCCTCCTCCTCCTCCTCCTCCTCCTGCTCCTCCTCCTCCTCCTCCTCCTCCTCCTCCTCCTCCTCCTCGTCCACGTTGCGGACGGGGCCAGGACGAGGATGAATCCGTTCCAGCGCGTTCCGGAACGCTCTGAGAAGGCAGCGGCGCTCGGTACATGTTCTAGAGCCGCCAGTTCTCAGAGATTCTCGAGTGCTCTTCGCCCGATGTTATCTTCTCGGGGAGGAATCGAAAGACTCGAGTACGCAGGAACTCGGGTTTACCGACGCTTGTTGACGAGCGCGTCCTGGATTCTGGCGGCCCAGTGTTCGCGGGAGGTCTGCGGCGGGAGTTCGTGTCGAGCTTCAGCTTCGGTCTCGTCATTTTCATGCTGGCCCCGTCAGGCCAAACCGAGTCCCCCGAACCCGAGTCTTGCGTCTCCCCGATCCTTGAGGCAATATGGGGTCATCTTTGGAGCAGTCCAGGGCCATCTTCGACGCCCTGACGACCCGCGACCCCCCAGTCCAGACTGGGGGAACCCCCGCAGGGAAAAGGTGGTCGTTGTGGAAGAGTTGGGCCCCTTGACCACCCGCTCCCAGAGGGCTGGTGGGATTTGTGGCGGCGCGACGATTGCTGTACTTCGCGACCCTGGGGCTCGCAGGGGTCCTGCCGTCGCGTCAGGTCGCCAACCACGTCTTCTTGCTCGACCCGTGGTGGAACCCAGCCTGCGAGTTGCAGGCGAGGCTGTCCAGCGCCGCTGTGCTAAGTCGTGGTAGGTCAAAACGGGGTTTGGACACGTTTTCGTTGTGTCCATGTTGTTGGTGGTTGGGGGTGTGGCCAGCGCGTCCCTCAAAGTGCAGTCGCACGACGTTTCAGGTGTATCCATCCGCAGTGGGCCAGTATGTTGCCAGACGTGTGATGCTTCGGCAGGTTGGTCGCCGATGGTAGTTCGATGTTGTTCATCATGGCCAATATCCTGTGTGCATGTGCGGTTGGATGAGCATTTCCCAGGAGTTAGCGGTGGGAGATGTGATGACCGACTATGTTGAGCATGCAACTAACATGTTTGGTGACGTTCAAGCAACATCAGCTGCTGCTCAGTCAGGACCCGCTTGGAAGCACGCGCTGCGCCGTGACATTATCAGAGCTTTTGTCTGGATAAACGTTTAGCATGTATCGCTGTTGTAGCTTGTGATCGTTTTATCGTTCATTGTGTTGCCGATCGGCGCGGGCCCTCGCACCCCGTCCCCCCCTCCCATGGAGTAGATCTTGGCTGTTTTTGGCGCCTGTGTCAAGCAGGTGGAGTCTCCCCCATAGGGCGCACTCTTGCAAACAGTCACTTCGCATTAAGCAGAGGCCCGAAGCCAGACCCCTCCTTTCCGCACAATGCCGAACTGCCGAAGCAGAAAGCGTTCACGTGTGTCGCTGTTGTGGTTCACTGCTCCTGTCCTGTCTACGCACCGCTTGGCAGGGCTCGTTTCGATTCCTCCGATTCGATTCGATTCGATTTCGATGGTTTCCGATTCCGATTCGATTCGACTTCGGATTCCGATTTGGGCTCCGATTTCTCATTGGAGGCACACTAGCCTGCCGATTTCCGCCGATTCGACTTCTCCCGACTCGGCTGCCGATTTCCGCCGATCCGACTCATTTCGATCGCCGATCCGACTTGTCGATTCGACTTTGGGGGCGCCTGGCTTGGTGTACGCCTCGCTTGCTTGCTCGCCCCGTCCGCCCGCGCAGGCCATCCAGCGGGCCCACCGGATCGGCCAGACGCGAGAGGTGCGCCGTGCCCGACCCGCTCTGCGGTATTTTGTCGTGCTGCTCCCGGGTCGGCGAACGCCACCGATGCCTCCTCCTCATCCTCATCCTCCTCCTCCTCATCCTCACTCATCCTCCTCCTCCTCCTCATCCTCCTCATCCTCATCCTCCTCATCCTCATCCTCCTCCTCCTCCTCATCCTCATCCTCCTCCTCGCCAGGCCAATCGTGGGCCCAGGCCTTCACGAGTCATGCAGAGATCACGACGGAAGGCGTTTCGCTATTTTCGGCCGCGGGGCCATCAAAACAACAAGTCCGGAAGAAGAACCAGTCCCGGGGGATGGGCCGAGCCCTCTTGGAAAAATCGTGATGTCGGAGGGTCTGGGGGGCTCAGCGTTGGTGTGCACGCCCTCCGGGCCAAGCCAGGAGGGCGCAGACACCGATCTTGGGCCCAGGATGGGCTTGGCCAGGATCGGTGTGCATGTCTAGCTGGCGCTTCCCCATCGGGGGCGTCCAAGAGGGGAGTGATGACTGGGGTTAGGTCGAGCATGTCCTCCTACAGGCGGATTTTGGACGACAAATGAAAATGGTCAACTAATCTTCAAAAATAGCCAAAAATAATAGAAAAAGCGTCCCCAAATGATTTTTGATTAGTTGTGTTTATTCCTCATGTGGAGGGGCATGCCCGACTTAAGACTAGGGGGGGGCACGTCATGGTGGGCACAGCACATGACGTTTCCCAGACGTCATGGCCCCCATCGTCTTCTTTCAACACGTCCCTTGGCCCCGCCAAGGCCGCGCACATGGCTCGGGCCACGACCTGCTGACCCCCCTCTTGGACGCCCCCGATCTCTGAATGGAGCTTTCCCTCGCCCGTCCCGTCGGTCTTCTGGCACTCCGCTGGCCGCTCCGACCAGCGGTCGCTCGCGCCTGACCCTGGTCGGGTGCGGCGTCCGCTTCGGAGAGAAGGAGGATGGGAGGGTGGAGGAGGAGGATCACTGACCAAACTGCCAGGTTTGCGAGCGGGCCGCCATTGAGCAGTCCCTCGGGGCCGTTGGCCGCACTTGGGACTGCCAATGGGGACGCCCAGTGCTTGCGGAGACCCCGACTCGCAGCCTGTTTATGGGGGATGCTAACGAGGTCCCGCCCTGGCTAGCAGCCCTACATCGAAAGCCGGCTTGGGCTACCAGCCCTGGGACGGGGGAGGAGGAGGTGGAGAGGAGGGCGCAAGGGGGACCGCCCTCCCTGGGGCGGAAGCGGCCCGCGTGCTGGCCGTCGTCGTCGTTGTCGTCGTCGTGGGGCCCGTTTCACTCCCTCCGCCATCCCCCTCTTCGGCTACCCCTGTCCTATGAGGCGGACGGAGAAGGTATCTCCACCCCTCTAAGGGATGAATGGGTGAATAAGAAGGGAAAAAGGGGGCAGACGAGGCGGGGGAGAGCGAGGAGGCAGGATGGTGTCCGGCCTCTGGAGATGTGGGCGGCAGGGTTGGAACTGGCTTGGGTTAGAGAAGGGATGTGGGGAAGGGAGCGCTGCGTTGGTGGCTACGCCTTAGCAATCTGGACCCCCTAGCGTTGGCAATATCTTCGGCACGCACGGCATCATCGCAGGATGTAGCATGGCTACTACGCTTATCAGAGCGCATGCGTTAGATGCCTTCGACACGGTCCCTCGCTTGGTTAACTTTCACCGCATCGATCGGGTGTATTCGGAGTTCTCGACGTTCGACGCCTACATCGACGATACCAGCATCTCGGCCATCGGCCCTCGTTCGTAAGTTAGGTCGGCGATCGTGAACATGGTTTCTCTGCCCCTGGCTGGCATTAGGCAGATGCTGGGAGGGCGCGTCGCTCTCGACAAAGTCGCGCGTTTCTCTGGGCCAGCAGTTGGAGGCCGACCTCGGCCCGTTTGGAGTGCCGGACGTCTCCGCAGTCAACCTCGGCTGCGACGACACGGCTGGCAAGAGTTGTGGGAAAGGAAAGATGAAGAAATGCCCGGAGAGGAAGGCCAGGATGATTCGCAAAGTCTAGCGGTTGACGCGGTTGAGGTCCCACTTTGGGCGCAAAGATATCAGAGTGTTTACCTCGGGACCGATGCCTGGCTGCACGCGCGGCAGTGAAGTCCAGGGCCCGACGGACGGGGAGGCGCACAGCATCGGTCGAGAAGTTGCGGGTGCTATCAAGCCTGATGCTGTCCGTCGGTCTTTAACTGCGCTGTCTCTGCTCGAGGGCGACCCAGTCTGGCACGGCTCAGTGGCCCCTGTGATTCGTCATGTGAAGGGGCTGTGGCTTCTCAGGGCCAGTGCTTTTCCAGGGGCTCTGGATTGGGCCGCTATTCGTTCTTTTTGGGATGGTGCGTCTTCAAGTCGTCAGAAAGCTGTTACCTGGAGGAGTGTTTCAGGACCCATGAGCGCCATGTTTGTGAGTCTCAGACGGATAGGCTGGGACATGAAGAACATGGCAGTTTTCATTGATGACATGGGTGGCGAGCTCTCGCGCACGCTGCTCTCGACGGCCCTCCCCAATGCGATGTTACACCAAGCTGTGCTTCGCCAGCTTGAGAGAGCGGCGCACGGCAAGCTGGTGGATGGCGATCTTTTCTGCGGCGCAGGCGCGCCCCCACCTGCGCCTGCGCAAGGCTTAGACGAGCCGGCCGTGGAGTTGGCCCCCGATCGGGCCCCCCCCCCCAACCTTGATGGATCGAATCGTCTCTGCTTCGACGTCGCCACGGCTGGGCCCCGCTCGACAAAACTCTCGGCCTGGAAGAAGGGCTCTGCGCGAGCTCTCTCGTGCAATGCCTTGTGGACCAACTCTCGCGCGCTAAGGCGCGGCTACAAAGTCAGCCCGATGCGCCCGCTCTGTCATACCAAGGTGGATTCGCCGTTTCAAAGACGATGGGAATGCACGGCATGTCAGGATGAAAGGGCCAAGCTGGCGGGGGTGGAGGTGATTACCTGGTCGAGAGGCGCGCGACAGTAATTCGCTGTCCTGGGCAACTTTCTGACCGGGGGCTTCGCCCATCCAGGAGACTACGTTCCGCCCCCTGCCAGTCAGCAGGGCATGGGTGGAGTTCTTCGAGCAGGGCTTCCTGGATTCGGGGCTGGAGTTTCCTGGGCCCGAGCAGGTTCGCTTCGACGGCAAGATTTTCCTGGATGGCAGTTGTTTCCACTCCAAAATTCGAGAGTTGCCCGGAGCGGGCTGGGCTTATGTTTCGATGTCAGATCAAGGCCACATGCTGGCCAGAGTCTTTGGGCCCACGTGGGCTCACTTGCCGCGGTCGCCCCAGGCAAGTGGGTTTTCCTCGTTGGCCGCTGCATGTGTCAACTTGGACGGGCCGTCTTCTCTGTCCTCCGACTGCGCGTCGGTTGCTTCGGTTTGCCCCAGGGGCCCTCGGGGCCGCCTCGGGGGGCATCGGGCCCACGCGGGCTCTGTGCTTGCAGGCTTCTCTGGGGCTGGGCCCTCTCTCCAGGGCCCGGTCAAAGTCGCTGCTCACAAATGTTAGACGAGCAAGGGATTTCTGCGCAGGAGGCCCGGCGGAGAGCCGGCAATCCCACGCCGACCGCGCTGCGAAACAGGGCGCGGGGGCCCACCCCCAGGCCTCTCCTGATGCGTTGGCTCGCGTGGAGCGCGAGATTCGCGCGCCCAGGGCCGCCGCCCTGCTGGCGGCCAAAAAAATCTTGCCTCGATGGCCCAGCCTCGACCTATCAGGCGTCCAATTCACTGAACCTTCCAATGCCCCTCAGGCGTCACAGTCGCCCCGCGAGCGGGCCCGGACTGGAGAACACTGGCAGCGCGGTACGTGCTCGCGGGGGAGGGGAGGTCACATGCGCCCTGCCCCTGGCCGTTGCGCCGCGCCGTTGTGTCCGAGCCTCTGGGGGCAGAACGGCCACCTGTGCACGGTGGTTGAGTGCTCAGACGGCTCCTTCATCTGCATATGCCGACGTTGCGGTTTCTGCAGTACTGGAGGCCGTGTCAAGAAGCTGGGTGAAGAATGCACCAGAAAGAAGGTTGGCGCTGGTCTTACGGCCTGGAATTATTGCAATGGCCTCTGGCCAGTGCCGCCGATCCGGGGCGCCCCCCATGCGCGTGGGAACGGGCGACGACGACGTCGACGACCGACGACCGGGTCAACGACGGACGACCGACGACCGGGTCAACGACGGACGATGATGACGACGAACGCCCCTCCTCCCCCCGCTGCCCTCTCCGGTCT